CTTTGATGTTCCGAGATGTGCGTCCTTTTGTTGAATTACCTTGGTACAACCTTGACCGCCGGACTACTGTACCTTGCGCAGTTTATGGATTTGGACCTGCCGCGATCGGTATTGTTGTTTTTGTTTTTAATTAGATGATTGGATTTTTTTTTGGCAACGTGTGGTTGGGCAGTGTGGTAGCATGTGCATGAGCATTCTTTTATAGAATATGAACATTTATTTTTGACAGTCTAAAACATTTGAAGACCCACTTACTGGACGTTTTGAAACCTATCAAATTTTAGTAGCAACTTATGCCTTTTTTTTTTAATTATTAGTAGGACTATGATGCTATGACGACTGGGATCAGAATAGCGCTGCCGACAACATAATATTATCTTGTTGCTCACACCGGACGTATCCTCTTCTGGTCCTAATGTCCGTATCTCCTTCTCTCCTTTCATGATGTCAGCTCGTTACCTAAATGACTCTTTTCATTCACATCTTTCCTTCTGAAATATCAGCATCCCAGTCTATTATGTGATTTTATTACGTATGATTGAAGTTGTAGATGATCTTTGAGGTCCTTAAAATCCATTTTGTGTCATATTCTGTCTTCGTTATTATGTGTTTATCTAAATCCCTTGTAATCCCTCATACGGTACTTTTGGAAGGTTTCGGCGATTGTAGTTGATTTTATCATAAAGAAAATTTCGCATACAATAAAACATAATTGAAGTTTGTGCTGACCAAACGCTGTTTTCACTCGATCCGAATCCGATACTTATGTTTACATCTTCCGTGCATTTGGTCATTTTGTAAACCCCGACATTGACTGAATTGATTTCTACCACGCAGGTCCACATGTGTGGGATATGTTTGCCCAGCACACAGTGCAGGCCTAGGATATAATAAAATGAATAGGCCTAGGCCTAAATGCTCATGAGAAACTAAAATGATAATTCTGTAATTACTGCAAGCCTCACGAATTCTCGGCAAAAAATGTTTGCCATCTTCAATTGAATAAAAATCAGAATAAAATTATTGACATAATGGCGAGTATTAGTCCTCTCACAATATTGTTTTATCTTTAAAAGAACAACACACACAGCAACATGTGAATATGCCTACATATATGATAACATAATGAAGCTGACATAAATTACTGATGAAGCACATAGTGAGATAAACCAGGGAACAGTTAATTCCACTGTTCCCTGGTTAAATTTTATTTAACATAGAATCCGACTGCTAGTAATATATTTTACGAACATTCTGCTTTTGGCTATTAATTTCCATAATGTACGTTTATAATTATAAAATAGGCTTTCACCCCTGAAGGCAACGTAGGGTATTGAACACAAGTATTCCTCGTATTCCAAAAGTTAACAAGTGAATGCAATCAATAGCCATACCTCGTGTATGTTACGGAATAGAATTCTAAAATTATGTAATTTGATTTATATTATTATTATTATTTTAATATTATTATATTTCTTTAGTAGGCCTACATAAGCCTACTGTCATCGGCACAAATTTTAAACAAAAAATTTTGTCTTTTTATGATACAATTCATGCATACATACATATAAAATGTAGGCCTATTCCAGAAACCGATAATCTAATACCGTACCATGCAAATATAATTGTATCTGTCGTTGTGGAATTAGCTTTATAATATTGCTCATGATTAACCTATTCAATTCGATGCTAATATTTCAGATTGCAGATACCGTTTGAAAATTGACTTGCATTAACAATGAGCCGTATGCGATAAATGCTCAAACACCGGCCTCTCAAATTTGAGACAAGACTAACGCCAAATGAGTTTTTTTTTTATAATTTCATCCTAATAGTCCTCCCACCTCAAGGACCCTGGAAAATGGAGGTCACGTATATTCAATTATAAGGCTACATATAATTAAGTAGGCCTACTGGTGGAACGATGCTCGAAAGAAGAACACGATGCTCGAAAATAAGATGCTCGAAATTTTTTTTCATAATAAATAAATCACAAAAAAGACAACATTAAAATATTACCGATCTGCTGCAAGCTTTAGTGCGCACAGCATATGAAGTATTTTACGACAAGGTGGCGATCAATACCATCGAAAAATGCCAACCACCCATTGAGGACGCTAATGAAATTACTTTATTGTATTTACTAGTAGTCCAACTCGTTATGTAGCGTATGTAGAAATAAAGCAAAAGAAAGTTTGTTGCTAGCTCAAAATGGTTTATTGAGATGAAATTTAAATTTAGGTGGTACAAGAGGATTCAATTCTAATAAAAGTTAAATATAATTAAATTGCGAGGCTTTTTAAAATTATTTTAAATTTTAGCCATGTGACATTAATATTATAGTTCACAAAAATGCAGGCAAGTATTATAGCCTACTTGATCCAGCTGATGTGTAGTGTTTATTATGCATAACGACATGCTTAAAACATTAGCGCCCCTCGGCAATATACCAAAATGCTGAAACGTATAAAGGTAAAGCAGATGACGACGGGGAGAATTATGTTGATTCAATTTATATGATAATATTTTTCATTGTTGCAACAAATATTACGACTTGTTGATACCATTCGCCATATGACATGCAATTATGTATTGTGGTTTATACTTCAGCATACTCCTGTCTCTTATACACATCTAGATGTGTATAAGAGACAGCTGTAGGATGTTGCATTTCCTTTTTGTACTTCAAATTGACCTGTGTTTGATACCTACATCATTATTAAAGTCAACAGTGGCTCCAGAAATATTCCTACAGGGGGTCTGACAAGAGGGCATGAACCAAGAGGCCAACTAGAGCCTCGGTCATGATCCCAGAATAAAAATACCTGTTGGGGGGGGGGGGGGCCCCTGGGGGG